AAAAAAAAAAAAAAAAAAAAAAAAAACCCCACATAAATTGGGTTACTCTGCTCAGTGGATTCAACATCAAGAAGGTGAAGTTTTGGAAGCTAATAATGAATGCCATTTGACCCTTCTTCTATACTTTGGATTGTTTTTATGCACAAAAAAACCCCAAACTAGCTATAATACAGACTAAAAGAAATTGGGAAAACAAGTTACCGGCAGAAGATTCATCACAACCCCTTTCTACTTCGGTGAACAGAGCTTCCTGCGGTTCGCGCACCGACTGATGCAGTTGAAGCATACGAGTCCCTGTGTGTTGTCGAAGCGCTTGCTCGAGATCCATGAGTGACTTGGTGAGGTGATCCCGGGACTGACTCGTTTGATTTTCCAGCCTCAACTTCCAGATTCCTGGCTTCCTCAGCCAGCAATGCTAACTGTTTTAAGGTGAAATTTATCAACCTCTAAAATCATATTGAAACTATCTAACAATCTAACACTCTTTTGCTATATAATGATGTAATGGTTTGAATTCATCAGAGCAAAGGGATCATCAACAACTTATGTGCAGAAAATGTTCCATTTGAGTCCAGTTCATAAAATCAATGGGATCAATCTATGTAAATGGAGTGTTTGGAGTTGATTCATACCCGAATTTCGTTCTCTTTTAGACGGTCCTGGAGCGCGGTTATGGCAGGACTAAGACTGCAAGCAATGAAAATGTCACTAAGAACAAGTTCAATCAAATGAGGCATGGAGAACAAAAGAGCACAAATGAATGGTTGAAGGCTAACCAATATTCAATTAACTTGCACATTGAAGCCTGATATGTTGAGGTGTGATGTATGAACGTCAGCGGATGCGCTTTCCCATCCCTACAAGAAACAAAAGAAATGATCAGAGCCAATAGCAAATGGGTTATGAAACCATGGATTGATTCGTGAAAGAAATAATCATTTCATTACTTCATATTATTTAAGATGGCTTGGTTATAAGCTGATCTCTCCTCTTCAAACAGAACATTTTGTAAATCTGTAAAAGACATTAATGGTGAATCAAGCTTTATGAGGGAAGCACTCGGCATAACATGCAGAGGAATCTCTTTCCTTGAGAATTCAGCAGCACTGGCAGCAAAAGACAACAAATTCACAATCAGGAGTGGTAAAGCCCAAGTTCGTCAGCTCGAGAAAAAAAAATGATGATAATGAATGTTCTTCAAGGAAGAACAAAATAACAAGATACTGCCACATCTGACTCCATATTAATGCAGCAATACAAGTTAACTAAGTCATGAGTAACGCAGTTTGAACCAGTTAGAAGATAAAGCCATTCGTAGATAACTGTATGAAAATTGAGGATAATGGCATTTCATACGTACCTCATTTCGATATTTGAACGGTGCATTGCTTCTTGCATACTTTCAGTCAAGTCCATAGGATCGATATCAGTAGTACCACTGTTTGTATTGCTAGTAAGATAGCTACCCCCCATTTTTTCTTTTCCTTGGTAGTTGGTGTCAGCATTAGCAAAGAAATAACCCAACTCTGAAGATCGTCCAGAACCCTGTAAACCATGTCGAACGAGCCATACACATCAATAAGGATGAAATATTTAATGCACCGCACTTGCAAATGTTAACAAAAGTGAACTCCCGGAACTGGATTATTAGATAAATCCAAGGAGCACATGCTTAGATATTTCCTTTGATGACAAACAGTTACAAATTGATTATCCTGAGCTAAGTGATTAGCAACAACATCATATCAGATGAGAAACACAGAAGTGTTCACCAAACACGTTTACAACAATGATTTTCCCAACTGACATGAAAATGAGAGGATAGTGATTGATGGAAGATGTACGACGACAGAGGGCAATAAAAAATTGTGAGATTCCACGTTGGTTGGAGAGGAGAACGAAACATTACTTATAAGGGTATGGAAACCTCTCCCTAGCAGACGCGTTTAAAACCTTGAGAAAAATCTTGAAAGGGAAAGCCCAAAAAGGACAATATATGCTAGCGGTGAGCTTGGGCTGTTACAAAAATACTAGGACATGCAGCTTTACCCACAGTCAGAGCATAAGAAAAGATAGAAAATGTGAATTCAACCCATTAAAGTACCTGAATTTGATCCTCAAAGGTGGGAAGCTATTATTTTTCTGCATAAAATTTATTGATCTAAACCAATGCAGAACTCATGAAGTATCAATCAATTAAAAATTTTCAGAGTCAACATGTTTCCCCATTAATAAACAGTCTAACTTAAACATCATGCTTGCCTGAAAATTGATACTTAAGCAAAACCTTCTGCTTATCATTCAACCTAAGCTGGTCATATGAATGTTAACATCCAGATTTAGGTGTCTTTGTAAAGCACATATGTTGTATTTCTACCTTCATAGCTCCAGCAACCATTGAATCACCAGTGTCTTGTTCGGGACTCTCCCCTGGTCCGCCCACTTTTGCTGATAAATTATCAGAGGAACTCAAAGAAGATTCAACATCAATCACTGAATTTCGGTACATAGGAGATAGGGAAATAGGTCTTGAGAGGTGATTCTGTTTTCCATCAGAGGACTGGAAAGCAATAACTTGAATTCTTCCAACCTGAAATTATCCAACTATGTTTAGCAAACATGCAAAGAGATAACTGTTCAAAGTAAATAAAACTACTCAAACCTTGTTTGCATCTTCACTAAAGCAGGAAAATATCAGCCCAATAAACCCAGAATCAAGGAGCTGATATGTCCCTTGAGTTCGCACATCTGCAGAAAGTACAATTTACAAGATTGAAGGAGTTATTTTTCTTTAATTGAAAAGTGCCAAAAAAAGATTAAAAAAATTTCCAATAGCTTATATTGCAGCAAAGACATAACGTGCAAGATTTAGGGAGATGGAACTAGACTTTGACATGAAAGGTCGGATATCATCCCAAACAACGTAAGGATATCCATCACAGCTTTTCTTTTGTAGAATAATGCTTAACTAAATCAGCCAGCTCTTTTTCCTCTTTGTATTCATCGAGAAGACTAAAATTTCCAAGGGCTGGCTCTTGGCTGGTTTTATATCCTTATTTTTTTTAACAAAGAGTTCAAAGAGTTGGCTGATTTAGTTAAGCATTATTCTACAAAAGAAAAGCTGTGATGGATATCCTTACGTTGTTTGGGATGATATCCGACCTTTCATGTCAAAGTCTAGTTCCATCTCCCTAAATCTTGCACGTTATGTCTTTGCTGCAATATAAGCTATTGGAAATTTTTACTATTATAGAACCATTAGAACACGAAGAAATTCAAAAAAAAAAAAAAAAAAAAAAAAAATTGAGCCTTTTATTTTATAGTACCCTGGCAAGTGACACCAAACGAAAACCATGTGTGAAGGTTTTTCTTAATAACAAATTATATGAAACAAAGGGCCTTCCATTGGAAATGTAAAGGAAAAGGCTAGAAATCTAGGATCTCCAAGTAAGACTTGGTCCCTGATCATCAATAGAACATTCTCACTCAAAGGATGATATAATGTGGTATATCAAGATGGAACGGAATCTTGATCACCAGCTGAAACATACGAAAGGAGAACAAGATGGAAACCAATTCATCGATGAGCAAAGCCTTTTACATTTGTTATTACATTTCAAGAGCAAGATGGGTCACAATTGGACACCATAGACAAGTCAATACTAACCAACATGAGAAGGAAGCACTGTTATATGAGGATGTGAATGGTACCATCCAATAACTCTTGTTGTTCTCCCAGTCATTGTTGTCATTCTGTTCTATAAAATTAAGTATATAACATTATAGAATAAAAGAAAATAGTTTCATAGGTTTAATTACTAGTGAAAAATACAGAAGCAAAAGATTCCTTAAGTATTTGAATAGTTAACCTCATTACGATAAACTACTTCATAAAACTAGCACCTTTAAGTTGAACTGTTGAGATAAATATTTTCATTTGTCAAGATTGTCGATCAATTGCACAATAATTAATTCAAATGATAAAGTAGTAAAAAGATGAACTAAAAGGATGAACGGAGATAAATAGGACAAAGTCTAGAAGAATTTCATAATGATAAAAGGAGCAAAGGATATATCAGCCTGGGCAGATGCAGCAGCCAATTGTTCAGGATGAGTCTCCACACGGTCCTTCCTTCTGTCAGACCGTGTCTGAGGCGATGCTCCCCAAATTAGTGCAGTAACACTTCCATTTTTTGAATGCTGCAAATTTTCATTGTCAGAACAGAACACATGACAGAATTAACAATAATTTTGTAAGAATGCAAATACAGGACCCGTAGAAAGGGCATGAAAGAGCTTAAAGCTTAGAGAATCAACCATGAAACAACTATTCAAACTCTAGAGATGAATTTTAGAATTAATATTCTCTGTTTACCATAATTCTGATAGACCATCTAACAAGAGCTATAAAAGAGAAATAGAACAATGCTTAATATAACAAATTCATACGAACTCTTGTGAAAAACAAACCAAGTTCATTTCTAACAGACATCATTTGGAATCAAAGCTCCTGCAGAGAGAACCATAAACACCACTCCTCACTGTAAATTTTACAAAATGACCACGGAATCATTAAACTAAGCCAACGAAGCACAATAATCTAAACTCCAATATAGAGAGGATTCAAACCACAACAACCCCATTTGCCAAAACAACAGAAGAAACCAATTTAACCTTCGTTTCAAACTAGACATCCTATACAAGCAGCCAAGCAACAAGTATACACCCAAAAACACAAATTAAAGCAAGACCCACATCAGATTACGCAAAATAAACGAGAATGAGCTGAAACAAAGTCGAAGAACCACCAAACGGGGGGTAGTAAATTGCAGAGTGGAAATCTAGGGAGTGACCTCAATATCGCCAAGAAGAAGCCCCATGATTTCTTCAGTCTCGGTGGACAATGCATGAGTGAGACAAGTAAACCAAACGTCTTCGGACATCTTCACGGCCGTCAGAGACATCTTTCGATCGCCGTCTTTTTGTCCGAATTCGGAAACTTCGATTCTCCGGGTCGATATTGAATGAACGAAAAAGAGAGAAAGAGAGAAAGAGAGAGAGATTCCGAAGGATCTTCGAGCTTTCAACCTTCAAGCGAGACTCACTGGCCGGTGTTTCGAAGGACCTTCAGCACCGGATCGCAAGACTCTTTGGAGCAGCAATACAGTACGGTCGTGCGTACGGTTTGATAGCTGATTGATGACCATGTGATTCGGCCACGTCTTTTTTTATATAAATTTATTTGAAATATATATAAATGGTTGCATTTTATGCGAGGTTTAAAATATCAATAAAACGATTATATTTCTAGAAAATCTTAAAAATAAAAAATATTAATAAATTATAAAAAAAAATTATATCTTTTAAATAACTAAAAAAATTTGTAATATATTTTGTTCTATTTGTTGAAAAATTATCATAGAAAATTGATACAATTAAAAAAAATTAAGGGGAAAAAGTTTATATTTTGTACCAAAAAAGTTGGCCTAATTATCATTTATATTTTTTTTATTATTATTTAAAAGTTTATATAAAAAATGTAATTACTAAAATAGGCGGAAAAAATGTCGTCGAAAGGACTAAGTAATTAAATGTTTTTATTGATTGGTTAACTAAAAGCTGCGTACAGTAATCAGATAGGCCGAGATGCACCGGATAATTAGTAAGAAATGAAAAAAATAGGTATGCAACTAAGACCCGCCCGCTTGGCCCCAACTGCCCATCGCCACCTACTGGTATTTCTTTCTCTGCTCCCCCGTTCCCGGCAAAAATCTTCGTCGACGGTAAGTTTTTTGGGCTCACAGCGACGTATTTCTAGTGGTATTATGTTGTAGTATTATAGATTTCTATGGTTTATTGTACGATCTGCGACACCACATTAGCCGTTTATAATCTAATATTGCATGAAATTAATTCATGTTCATATTTATTACTTAGGTGTTCGAGAAATTGTAGTCTCTAAATTTGTCTTTCTCAATGAGGTTACTGTCTGATTGTAATTCTTCTATTTGATGTTGTCAAGTTCAAATATTTTTGTTTTTCTCAGGGAATTTGGTTCTGATTTTTTAGTTTGTTATTGTACCTTGATATTTGTTACTATTTGTTTGCATTTGTTCAAAACGGTACTCCAATTTGCTGACTCTTGAGTTTGTAGTTTACATCAGATAATATAATTGGGAGTTTCTCGTACGATTTAGTGTTGTAGTTGGAACCATGGCGAAGGCGTTATCAAACTTGCTCTTCAAGGGCTTGGCTGGTCTGCCAGCTACTCGCACTAGCAGAATTGTACGGTTTGAACAAATCATACTATCATAGTTTAGTCTCTAATTTCTTTTGTCTTGTTTCATTGATTTTAGATTTTTTTTTTTTTTTTTCTTGTTCAGTTGATTATAGGCGTGACTTTGTGGGGATTTTTTATTTTTATGCCATCTGAAAATCATGGAACTATGTTCAAGTTTCCCTTTCTTCCCTTTATCTCACACAACTATCCGGAGGTTTAAACTTTGAAGTTGGAGCCTGTTGGATACCTATTTTTTGGTGTTTTGAGATGAATGCTTAAATTAAATATGATGCCTGTTTTGTCTCAGTAGTTTGATAATGTAAATTTTCTGTTCTATTACTCTTGATCACAACTTTCATTTTATCACTTTCACTGGATTAAGAATGTTGTTTTCTTTATTTTGGCCACATTAGTTATTAGTTTTGTCTTTGAAGTTAAGCTTCATATTATCCCATGTGAGATGTTTTCCTCACCCAAGTAATTGTTGCGTTTGCTTAAATTTGAGGCATACTAAATTTTGTAATAAACTTCGCTGAATGCTGCCTAGTGTGAAATTACATGGTAGTGATGACATACAAACTATCATAGTTGACTGCAACTCTTGTACTATGGGATGTTATAATGTGGTGCCTCCCTTTGAACTGTTGATAGGTACCCGGGTTTTGTTACCAATCTGGAATGGCATACGCAACGACTGTTCCTGATGATCCTGATACCCATGAAGATTTCAAACCTACAAATAAACTTGAGAGTTCTGTCCTTTCTTTGAGAGATGTTGTTGAACAGGTATGTATGCATGATTTTATGATAGAACTTGTAACATCTGTCTAGGAAGCATACCTTGATGCATCTAATATTTGTGGTAGCAGAAAAAATATGTGCGTTCTAAATTTCATTTAGATACACAAAAGAGGAAAGATACAAAAAGATCTTTCAGATAGTGCAAAAAGTAGAAAAATTATACGCTTTGTGATTTGAGTAGGATGTTAGGAGTTTAAGAACCAGCACTATTGGTTTAATTTTCAAATGGCTTAGTTTTAAAAGTCGGTGTAGGCCTCTAATTCTTCAACATAATGACTTGCTAGTATTTATACTTCTATGAGTTTGTATGTTATATATTGGCGTCATCCTTCTATCTTGTTGCTAGGATGTCCAGCAAAATCCTGTGATGATTTACATGAAAGGGGTGCCGGATGTTCCTCAATGTGGATTTAGCGCTCTGGCAGTTAAAGTGTTGAAGTTATATGGTAAGTGTTCACTGTGTGTGTGTGTGTGTTTTAATGATTCTGTTCTCTTTTGGTCAAGCTTATTGAGAAATGTTCCGATTAATGTGGTCTTCAGTTTCACATGAGTTTTGTTCGGTATATGGTCTCAGTACTTCCTTTACGTGAGTTTTGTTATGGTTATGGTTGTGAGATCCCACCTCGATTGAAGAGATGAACGAGTGTCTGTGAGGATGCTAGGTGTCACGGTCCTACATTCTTGACCGTGTGGCGTCGTGATCTATACATGCTCACGACCAGCCTTAAGGGGAATTAAGCCCCATTATATTTTTCGCCCCGGCTTTTTGTCTCAACATGTCTTCAATGCCCACTTTGCGTGGTGGTGTGTTGGATGATGCATCGTCCTCCTCGATCGCATCATGGCATTCTTCTACGTTGGCCCGCATATGGCCGGATGGGCGTCTCTTGAGGGACGCCCCTTTGCTTGTCATGGCGTGAGGGTCACAACCTACTCTCTTCATAGTAAGGTTGTGACATTCTCCCCCACTTAACTTAGTCATCGTCCTCAATGACTTACTCGAGTCACAATCATATTGCGGATTGTGACACTAGGCTCATAAGGGAGGTGGATTGTGAGATCCCACATCGGTTGAAGAGAGGAACGAAGTGTTCTTTATAAATGTGTGGGAACTTCTCCCTAGCAGACGCATTTTAAAAATCTTGAGGGGAAGTCCGAAAGAGAAAATCCAAAAAGGACAATATCTACTGATGGTAGACTTGGGTAGTTACAAAGTCTTCAGTTCATTGTTGCCATGAGAATCTATATTGAATTTTCAAATCATACTGTTACACGTTAGTACTGTGTCAATCGCTGGATATAAATTCTTGCACCACCTTTCCATTGCAAGCCATCTTTCTCCAAAATTCTCATGTGTTTAAGTTTGTAGATGTTCCTTTGAGTGCAAGAAGTATCTTGGAAGACGCCGAGCTTAAAAATGCTGTGAAATCATTCAGGTATGCATACCTTAGTATAATACTACGCGAATATAAGCTAGTGATATTGTTGACTGAAGAAGTAAAATCCTCGTCAACATGCTGTAATAATAAGAAATTGTTTCACGCAGCAACTGGCCAACATTTCCACAGATTTTCATAAAAGGAGAGTTTATTGGAGGATCAGATATCATACTCAGTATGCATCAGGTTCGACCGATCTCTTATAAGCTCCCAACGTACGCACTACTTGGTTCACTTCTCGGATCGTACCGAGATTTTTCGGTTTATGATCAGATTTTGTTACCTTCATTTAGAAAATATGTCTCCGTTTTTTTGATGCATTGCCTTGACATTGTTATGTTGTTTGTCATGTGTAGTCTGGAGAATTGAAGGAGAAGCTCAAAGATATTGCAAACAACCAGAAGACTGAATAAGTCAAGTATGAAGAAGGAGATATGGTTTAACCGATTTTGTTTCGTTTTTCTTAAAACTCAATACCATATACAGGTTTCGATCCAACAAATCCTGTGGAATTAGAAACTCAAACATCCATTACATTTGGTATTCATTCTTAAATTTACTATCTGCATCCTCTGAAAAGAAAAATATAAAGAACTTAAGCAAATTAAAAATAACTCCTAACGTACAAACAAAACCAACCCAATATGAAGCATCTGACTGATACATGCTGTTCCCAGCAACACATCAGACATATCTGATAAAATTGTAGGTGTTAAATAGCCTCACTCATTCAAAGGGCTTTAACTGAGGGTTTCTCTGCAACACAAAATTTTGGCTATGACACCTGTGAAAGACAAGAATCCGCCATGACATTAACTTGTCCCTTTCTTGGTACTAGTCGTGCAAAGATACCGAAGTAAGTACTCATTTGACGAACACATATCAGCCAAATCCTGATGCGTTCTGGTGATAGCCATCTGCAAGGATTTTAAGGCAGGAAGTAGGTTTCTAGAATTTTGTTGAATGTAGTTACCATGAATTTTGCAGAGTTCCTGAGACAAAAAAATGATGAGTTGAAATCATTTCCACAACTAAAGCTCAAAGACAATATCTCCATCAAAATTGAAACTCAAACTACCTGACACCACCGTAGAACGAACTCCAAATGCGGGCAACTTTCCAGAAGTTCCGCTAATGCCTCGACCAACCTCTGCAAATATCTATGTGGGATGGATTGGATTAGTTTTGCTATATCCACAACATTCACCGAGAAAATGCATTTCTTTATTAAATCATCCTCATTTAATCGTAAGCTAAGAATCAAAGCCCTGCTCGGTTGATCTTCATCAAGTGCAGCATTGATCGCCTACAAAAAAAAATATATAGAAGATCGATGTTAGAAAGGATAAATGGTTAAAGACAACATTCTCAACTTCTAAGATTAGTTAGAAATGCGCCAGAAACATCTTTTTCCTGCTCGTAGTTCTGTATTTGTCTTATCGTAAAATATTTTTTTTCCTTTGGAGGCAATAACTTGTGCGTGTATGACTGTACAATAATAACTACATTCATTACCTCAGGTGTGACGTCGATATCGAGATCGGTTGGATCAAAGATAAAAGATTCGTCAATTGAATAAACAAGAACTCCCTCTGTTGTTGAGGCTGCAAAATTTCGACCAGTAGGTGCAATTCTCAAGCATTTTGTTCTTACAATTGGTCGCCCACGATTGAGAATCGACCCAGGTAAATCATGGCCTAATTTCTCCCGTGTTTGTTGGTCAACTCCTTCTTCTACATCACTGTCATCATCATCAATCAAATCTATGGGCCCAGCCTCAGTCATATTCTTTGAATTTAGAACATCAAGAACTCCATCTAAAGAGAGATTGTGGGTTATTTGAAACCTGCGTAGCAATACCTGAGCAAGCACAACATGATACAACGAGAAAAATGTGAGGGAAAAGACAAATGGTAGACAAGCATAAAATGTAGAAGTAACAAAATTTAATCTAAATTTTTTCAACATAAAACATGAATCAACAAACAAGCCAACCTACTATATTTTTAATACAACAAAAATTTGAGAGCCTAAACCTAATCAAGGAATTGAAATTTTAAATCATCTTCGCACCTCAGAGGGAACATGCATAGTTTAATCTTTTAACTTTTGTGGTGTAATGAAAAATTCCAATTAAACAAACACATAATGTATTATGTTCATAACGGATAAGAACAGATACTACACATGCTTCTTAGCCAAAAGGCCAGGAAAGGTATATTTGCATTAAAGCCTTGAACTAGTTAAATGATTGTATGGTTGATATCAAAATAAGTGATTTAGCCTAATGAAAGACATGTAGTCAGATACCACAAATAAAAGTAAAAGCATACAAACTGACCTGATCAGCAATGTCATACATACAGATGAATTTACTACATCCTCCAGCTAATATGTAACTCCCATCAGCAGAATAACATAACGTTGTGAAGCACTTCCCTGAACTTGAAGTAGCTGCAGATCTTCTATCAGTCATTAAACGTCCTCCCGCTATGTCCCTACGCCCCTCAATTGTATACATCAATATACCATCAATCGGATCCCAAAAATGGATCTGACCATCTAATGTACTGCTGGCCAACTGCCTTCCATCTGGACGATAAACCACTGTAAGGACATCATGCATATGATTGAACGTTTCAACAGCCCCCTTTCCTTCAAAAACATCCCACAAGCGGACAGTTTTATCCCATGATGAGGAAGCTAAGACTGCCTACATTGAGTCATACAGAGTGATTAGCATTATGAAAAAGGATAAGCAATAAACCTCTCATCTTTATGGTTATTAATGACATAAAAAGATGGGGAAGAAGATAGCACAATCAGAGCAATTTGAGGGAGAAAAAATCCAGCATAAAAAAGGCATCATGTACAATGGTATTTTAGAATAAGAAATTCAAAATGTAAATGAATGCGTTCAGAACTCACATTTGTAGGAGAAAACATCAATCCATGAACAGGACCTTCATGCCCACTAAGGATATCCAACAAACGGCCAGTCTTCATCGACCAAACAAAAATCTACAAAGTACAAGAACTATGAGGCAGGAAAAGCTAGAAGGAGTATATATATATTCCAAGAAAGGTCACGAGGATACCTCAAATGAATCTAATGTTCCAGCACAAACAACTTCACCACTTTGGTCTACTGCCAGTGAAACAAATTGCCGGGAATTGGGGGAAGTAAAAGTTCTAAAATTTCGATAGCGAAACAGATCCCATGCCCGAACAGTGCCATCAAGAGATGCACTCAACAGACAATGGTTATTTGCCAAGAAATGGAGAGCAGTAATGGCATTTGAATGCTCGGAGAACGTAACAAAGCAGAAGCCTGATTGAACCGTCCACACCTACACCAAACAAGTAACATCAGCCAGTTAACCCATCAACAAGAAATTACTAAAAGAAACTCAAACAAGTTTGGCACCATACAGCCTAACCAATGATGGAAAATTAGAATTATATAAGGGGGAATAAAGTCATATGTCACTAGGCTACATAGTTGATGAACACAAGTAATGCAATCGCTTTACTACGGATCGTGCTAGTTAAGTTTGGAAAAAAGAATACACCTTTAACGTATTAAGTTACCTTGACTTTATTATCATCAGCTCCCGTTGCCAACAGTTGTGAATCCGGTGAATAAGCAAGACAATTAACATCAAAGTAATGTCCTTGCTGTTTCAATATGTAGCTCTCCGACCGCCATTCCCACACTAGTAACTGACCAAGTTTGGCACACCCAAATGACAACCAGTTGCCATGCTGATTGAAAATGGCTGTGGTAATTTTCTCTCTTGATATCGACAACATGTGCAAGCACACAAAATCCGGCATCTGATACAGCCCAAACGTGCCATTAGAGAATCCCACAACCACCATATCAAGGTACCTATGATAATCACATGCAGTCACCTTTGCCGGAGCCTGAGAAAAACAATCCTTCCTCCCTAACTCCCATTTTTCTCTAAGCAAGTATTCAGCTTCATCATCCGCTTTACCATCACCAAAATTCTTCCTCTTTTTTACACTAACATCCCCACCACTCTCCACATTTCCTTCACTATCCCTACTAGGAGTCCCCGGTGAGGCCGGTTCCGAATTATCCACTTCCATCTCATCCAAATTATTTTCTGTAATGCCCCAACTAAAGATATAGCAGTCACGCGTAATCGTATAAGCTTTTACTACCTTATTGGTTTTCTTATTAGTCCCAAAAAACGAACCTACAATTGAGTCTCTATGACCCAAAAACAAGTGTGGTTTGTACTTGATCCCACTTATTTTCTTCACAAAAAGCAACCTAACAGTCAAATCCTTCGACCCAGCAAGCAAGTAATTGCCGTCCGGACTCCAGCCCAACGCTGTAACTTTATCATTACAATCAGCAAAAGTCCGTACCAGTTCAAAAGGAAAGAACTCTTTCTTGAACCCAGGTGAGCGCCAAATTTGGACCAACTTCCCAGTGCCAACAGCAATAAATGCACCATCAGGGCTGAACTTAACGACACTGACGGGCTTCTTGAAGAACATACGGTGAAGCACAACTCGGCGTCGGAGATTGATGAAGAGACAACGATTCTTCTCGTCGACGGTGAATAAGAACGCCCCATCGGGAGAGACGGCGATTCGACAAATATTGGACGACGATTGAACGGGAAGCGTCGCCGTTTGGGACTTAACAAGGTCGGTAACGGAGATTCGGTTGCCGACGGGTGAGATTAACAAGGTGTCCTCCGAAATCAGAACATTGCCTCCTCTGTAAGGCGCCCCTAACAGGTTTTGAAACCTGTAATTCATCGCCGGCGACTATGATTCCAAGAAAGCTTCTGCAAAAAATTCAGTTGTCCCTCTTCGATTTTCAGAATCGAACAGGTAGGGTTTATGGAGGGTTTTAATAGCTTTGGGCCAAACAAACTAAACCCAAGGCCCAATAATGACCCATTAAAAAAAACCCATAAATTGGTTAAATTATAAAATTGGCCTAATTAGAATATAGTCCCAAATTAAATTTAATAAAATATATAAACTAAATAAATAAAAACATAAAAAAATAAAATAAGAATAATAAAAACTAAATATGTACGAATAATAAAACATGAAAACTAAATGTATACCAGTATCTATGATTGTTCATGATAATTAAACCTATGGAGTATTTAAAAATATATAAATAAATTTTAAATGCATCCTATTAACAAATAAATTTCAAATGCATCCTATTAACAAATAAATTATGTAAGGGCCAAAGATTTAAACGACCATATAGAATCTAAATTTGGAATCTAACACCTAGATATGCTCAGCGACATGACCATATTACTTGCTCATCTTGAAGCGTTTCTAAGAGTGCTCCGAACCCCATAAGTCCTTTTAAGATTTTTTTATCCTTATATGTTTTTAGGAAATTTTTTTATAATTAAACCACCAATAAAATGAATGTGCATTTTGTTGGTATAGATAATAAATAATAACTATCAGCTCTTTCTTAACTATAACTTTGTATCATCAAGATTTAATTCATGTGTCCTCTTTTACTCAAGCCTCACGTGTCC